GGTTGGAGTTACGGTACCAAAGACTGAGCGGCGCGAGACGCACCCTACACACCAGTGCAAACTTTGTTGTAGCATCCTTGTAAGGTCTGTTTATGGCTGCTTGCTGGGGAAAATGGAAAGGCGAGGCTCTGACTCACCGACCGTGGCACTTGCCAGCGACAGACTGAGAATGGGATGGGGGAGGGGTGGGAGCGATCGGGAGTAGGGGTAGGGAGGTGATGCCCAGCGTGCGAGACGCTCACTTCTGTGAGGCACTGTACTGTGTTGGAGACTACACTGTGTAGGCCCTACATGACCTACTAAAGCCTGGTGCGTCGATATAGGCTACTTGGTGGATATGCGGACTTAATGAAGAACTAATGTGTTGACCGTTAGGGTGGCTTTTCCCCCAATTTATGTTCGTGGGCTTCGCCAGGTACCCAGGAAGCATATCAATAAAGCAGAGTGGGCCGAAAAAAATGTCGATATAAAAGAAATCTTTAAGTGAAGATATTGAAGAAAAAATTTTGTAATTGGAAAATATGTCGATATGTCAAAATGTCAATACATCGGCTGTCGATATAAGTGGATTACACTGTAAATTAGAAGGAAAGATTTTTGGCAAACCCAGAGCCCTAACACCAACCCTAACCATGCCACTCTCATCTAACAAAATTATTTTGACAATTTATTTAAATACAGACTAGCAAGTTGCTTGCTATTTTGTTGATAAAATGAAAGAACATTGTAAACCAGCACAAATGGCACAATGGTTCAGTTCTTCGCTTTCACACGCTGACAGTGTGAATTTGTTTCTTGTAAGAGGAAGTCATTTCACCAAGTATCGGAGCAGCCCTCTTCTTTTTAATCTAAATTGTGTCAGTTAAGGAATAAAAATATTCGCAACAAGTAAGTTGTATATGCCAGGATCAATAAGAAGAACGGTTCTTCCCTCTTGCCGTAAACAAGCATAAAAATATACTTAAAGTTAAAGTATGAACCCTCTCAAGCACTACATGTATAAAGAATACATTATGACAACAGATAAACTACTAAAAGAGAAGTGGGAGAGAACTTGCACTTTAAAAAAAAATCAAATGTACATGAGTAACAGTATTAAGTTTTGCAGTGTTTAAAGAAACTTGTCCTTTAAGTGAAACAAAATAGTAAGTGTTACACATAGAACAAAATTAATAAAAATGTCTCTTATTATAATCAAATTATAAAAATAGCAGCAGCAGCTATGACTTTTTGAACAAAAAAGGTCAAACTTATAGTGGAAAATCAATGACCTCAAGATACCTTCTGATCTTGAATGAGTAAAGACTTATCCCCTCATAATCAATTAAACATCTTAAAAATTGGTGTTGACGGTTGCTGGAGCTTAGAATACCCAAAAGAGAAAAAATTAAGTAGCTTTGCTAAGAGTGTTTTTTCCCCCCCATTGAAGTTCAAACTTAACTGTTCGTTACTGAACAAGTTATAAAACTCAAAACGAAATTTGTCTCTAAAAATATAATCTTGCATCGAGTTGAATTCATGAAGCATTCAAAAGTCCAAAACTTCTAGACTGCCTACTTGACATAAAGTAAAAATCTATGACGCTGAAATTTTCAAGTACCGGTACAGCTGAACCTGCTCTAACCTTTGGCAGCACAGTTATTTTGAGCTTCACAGAAAATGAAATAATCATACCATCAGTCTTTGTCATATCAGAACTTTTCATATCAACAATCATCACATTTGTCTTGTACCAAGCTAACGCTGAGTATTGACTATGAGATCATTTCTCTAACACAAAGAGTAAGCTCTTAACCCTCGTAGCGCTTACCGGAAGCGCTGAGCGGGCTCCGTGCCGGGTTCGCTTAGCCTTGACCGTTTGTGACCTGCCCCAGAGCGCTGGCCGGGTTGTTTGAGGCCCACGCGGGGAATGTTATTGTTTCATTTTGTATCTTGACAGTATGCACGCATACATTCACCAAAACCCTAGACAATTTATAAATTCAGAAAAGACTTCACTTTCCAGGGGTATGGTTTTTCAAAATAAAAAAGGGAAAGCTGTTAATGAAACCAATCATTCACTGTTCAGCGCTACAGGGTAATTGACCTAAATAAACATTATATAGAGTCTATCCCTAACAGAACCCACGAAGGCACGCAGTGCCTAGACCCCTGGGTTATTTTTTCCTTGATTTTGATTGGTTGAACCATTCTAGAGTAAAATTTTCCATTACAGAACTAATAATAGCATCGAAAGGTGACGCTATTTGCTCCAAAAATAAGGTGTTCCCCTAAATCGACAATAGTCGCCTCGCGCGCTTGGGAGCAGGCCCGCCCGTTGGCGATTATAGTCGCCTCGTGCGCTCAGCGGAGTGAGAGAGGGGAGGCGAATTTTGTCGCCCGGAGCGCTACGAGGGTTAAGAAAAGACTTGCATGTACAGAAATAAATAAGGATCACAACATAAAATCAAATCAGCATATAATTTTTAAGGGGCACCAGATCTATAACAGTGACATTTTCATAGAGCAGCGACAGTGAAGCGGAGGCAGTCGTGTCAGTAGCAGCCCCCTTTGGTACAGACAGAGTTGAGCACGTCGTGGGCCTCTCGAACACCGTTGGCAGCCGCATGTGTTATCAGTCTGTGAGACTCCCTAGAACAAATTAACAATATTTCAGCACACTTAATTTTCTTTTCATAGAACAACTTTTATCCTGCCAAGAACCTTGAGCCAAACTGCTTTCTTTTGATTTTAAGTCAAATGAATTATAACAATACCTGTACATGAAACACTGAAGATCTACAATAAGTTATGTGTGCATATAGGCTACTCTGCTACACCATTTGAGAAAGTTAGAAGTACCTCATTTTGTCTGCATGCCTTATGTTTACCAACAACAGAACTGCATTAAGCAAGGAGCCACATGAATTGGTATGATGTTCTCTGTAGACATCCTATAGATTGCCTACGACTTTTTACTTTAAAAATATGTTTATATTTAAAAAGAAATTCCTGAACTCTACAAAAGAATAAGATACCCCCCGGGCGATGCTACTGACTGAAGTGTCTTTAGGCCATTCCCAAAAGGGGGACATTAGCATGTTCTTATGCACAGTGGAATAGTACATCAGCAGATTCATCAATGTCATGCTCATAACTGTGCCTGAACTGTAACAGGAAACTGCTGCTTTTTCTTTCCTAATCCTTACTATCGTCATTTTCCTCTACTTCTTTTGTAAGTTTGTGACACTCTTGTGACCCGCTACCCGGGTGCCTTGATGGTCGAAGCAGACTTTGTGCTGTTGAAATTACAAAGGTGAGCAGAGTAAGCCTGATTCCCTGAAAGGACTTCTCTGTTGACATCCATCCTTTGGTGTTCATATGACCCTATGCGGTTGCGAGCTTCGTAAAACCTCTACTAAAACTAAACTAAACAAAAAAGAAAAAGAGCTTTGAGAAATATTGAATAATTCCAATCTGAAAATAAATAAAAGAAGTTCCTGACCTCTTTTCTCAGCCCGGTTTAGCTTGAGAACAGAATAAAAAAGCACATCAGCACAATTACAGCCATTTTGCATGAAAAAAGGCACAACATACAGAAAGAAATAGCAGAAAAAACGTAATGAACAAATATCTACCAGTTAAACCAGTGCCGTCCTCCAACCATCAACCGTTCTTTTCTAAATAAGAATTTAAGAGTTGCTTCTTACCCTGGTCTCAGCTCTGTCTTGTAGCCCTTGAGGTGACCAACAGCTAAGTTATAAGCAGCATGAGGATGACCCTGGTCAGAGGCTTTCCTAAAAGAAAAACCAAAATCACATAGAATATACAGTGGAATCCTGTTATAACGAGAGGGAGGGGACCGGTTCAAAATGTCCGTTTTAGCAGGATTCTTGTTGTAAGGGATCCAGTAATAAATTCAAAGGAAATAATAAAGTAGGCCTAATCTAAGCGTTTGGAGTTCTGTTTATTTCTTTTTGTTATCTCCTCGATGATGGCTTTGTTCACCTCTAGGTGTTACTTGATCAAAAATTGAACCAGGTTTCTTTCTCTAGCGTGAGCGATGTTGACAGCTCGGCGTTGGCTATCAGAACGAAAGTTCCCTAGGCTAACTCGCCCGCTGTGTTTTCCCCCACCCCACCACATCCTGTGGTGCATTCCCGCGTCTGCTTGCGCACGTCATACATTCGCTCCATAATCCATCACAGTACTGTGACCTCTCCATCGCCGCATCAGAGAAGTGAGAGGCATGATAGGCTTAGATAATCTACACTAGGCTGGCCTATCACTATTAGGCAATGGGTTCTGCTTCACAACGGCTTGTCTGTGTGTGCCACACCCTCCCCACTCATTCGCTCCGGTCTTCATCATTGGCACACATGGGCTCTCCCATTCTTTGTTTCGCTTGATCACCAACAAGTTTCTCAACTGGCGAGGTTTTCATGTATACAAGGCCTTTAAGCGCTGTGCACAGCAGCAGCAATATTCCGCAATAACCGACTCGCGCTTTTATCTGATTGTGCTATAGCAGTATTTTATTTACAAACATAAAGAAGAAAAAAACCTGAGGTTTCAGAATAATGTCTTTATATTATTTATTATATATGACTTCTCGTTACTTCAGGACTTGTTATAAGTAGACTCCACAGTACTGAATTCATAGCTGCCAACTTTTCAAAGCCAAAAACAGACTCTACCCATACAGTAGACCAAGATGGTGGGCATTGGCCAAATAACTCTTCGTCAAACCTTTCACGCACTTTTCTGCATTCATTATATTCAACATTTTCAAAGAATACGTGCATCAAAACGGTCTTAAAAATTCAAATTTTTCCTTCAGCATTAGCAAAATAAGTGAGGAGCTACACTAAATAGCAAAGAATATATGACTCAGACCCTACGATACGTATTAAATACATTTTACGTTCTGAATCAATCAATGTGAATCAATCAGCCATTTGGGTAAAATGGAAGATGCTTGTTGATGATTGGGACAGAAGACATTTCTAATATTAAATTTCTAATATTTTAAGAACCTAAAATATTTGTTCGATTTTACATGTGATTTATACTATTGGACAGCGAAACAATAGTACATACCTCACTAAAATACTTAAGAATATCAGCATGTACACAAAAACAAAAATAAAAGCCTGTTAAAGCGTTAAACATGTTTACAGGTGAAAAAAACTCCATCGAAAACTTTAAAACATCACTTGACTTCTCGGCTGTAAGCTTACAAAACACTTTTTAAAATTCACAGCAGTGTTTATAAAAAGAGGTTTTCTTTGTCAGCGTAACCATTGAAAAAAAGAGTTTTTCCGAAATTTGAATTCCAATTTATTAAAAAAAACTATAATAGTCACAGTTTCACTTTGATTTTTTTTGAGCAAGTAGGGTAACTGATCAGGCTTTCAATGTAGCAAATAAACAATTTCAGTGCCAAAATGAAAAAAAGGCGTATTGTCAGCTTCTGGCAGTACTCTCCTCTCTGCATTCACAAACTTCAGCAAATCAACACAGCCTGGTTACTAGGGCTGGATTCTGCTCGGTTAATCGAAGGCTTGCAAAGCAGCGGACGGCTCGTGCTAGAGGCTTGTGAGCAGGCTTGTGATTTGCTTTGCCTCCCGCTTGCTACCGGGGGGAACTTCCAGTGAGTTGTGATTCACGGACAGTCCTGCTGTACTGTGTCGTGACGCCGCGAATCTTCATTGCTGTGGACTCAGTACATATTACAAAAGATTCTCTGGTTATTTGGGTTGAGAGGCTTGCACCAAAAGTGCAAGATCGTTTGTTTTTTTACATAGTTGTAAAAAACAAAAAGCTCTATTCAATGCACTTTAAAATTAATATTGGATCGGCTATTCTCACGATGTTAAGACCTGTCTATTCTTAATGTGCACGAACCAAGCGCTTCACCGTCGCACGCAAAAGATCTCAGTTCGATTCCCGTATGGGGAGAAATTTTTACTGAGAACCTCCGTCTTTCTGCTGGGGCTTGCTGTATCGAGACGGCACAAGTCAGCAGGTCATGTTTCGAGCTTGTCCTGGGACATTTCACTAGGCCTAGCGCAAATCAGTACTGTGTGAATCGTGGGACTTGTGGCTGGGGACGGGATTTGAGACAAGCGGCTGTCCGCTGCTTTGCAAAGCCTTCGATTAATCGAGCAGACTACAGAGCTATGCCGCACATTGACACTGTGGGCGGGATCTCTCACTTTCCCACTCTCTCTTTTTCTGATGTAAGTGGCTTCGCGGATTGCTAGTTGCTGTGGACTTGAAGTTTAGACTAGACCAAGGAGGTTACAGTTTGCGCTAGACTCAACTTATCATGCTGGTGATTTGATTTGATGATCGGACCTAGTGATTTGAGGCTTGTGACTTGAACTAGGGGCTTGCGAGCATGAGCGGGTTTGCTACCGGGGTACAGCCCTACTGGTTACTTACTTGAACCACTCCATCGCTTTATCCGGGTGTTTTTCAACTCCTTTTCCTGCAATTGATAGAAAAGGAATTTTTAACATGGATAACTTTCATTTTTCAATTCTTTAATTTTTTGAGTCTGCAGAACAAAATTAAATGCCAAAAAAGTTAAATGACAAAACTGAGTTACCACATGGTATAAGGTCAAAATACAGTCAAGTGCCATGAGAGTGAGAGATTTACTCATTATTCAAATAATGAGAAATACAGAATGATTTCCGAGCATGCATGCTTCTGAAAATGCCTGCCAGGGTCAACCAAGGCTGAGAGGGATATGTCATCATAGCAGAAAGACCAAGATAGTCAATAAAAATTCCCCCCCACTTGGGAATCAAACTTTTATCTCCTACCTGAGACAGTGAAGTGCCTAATGGAAGTACCACAGAAGTCTGTGAAGTTATCATCCAAACTTGCAAAACTACTGTCTTGTACATATTACAATAATAGCCTTAGCACTCAATTTCTTTTTTTTTTAGGGTTGGGGGTTCTTTTCTTACTAATTACTAAGTTCAAGCAAAGTTTCTTGCTAGAAATGAAAAATAATTTTTGAATAAGAAGGGCATTATACTTATACAGTAGTCTCCGCCTAAGATCCCGGTGCTCGGGAGCAAGGGAAATGCGGGATCTTAGTCAAACTGGGATCTTAGCCGACGAACCAAGAGAAAAATCTAAGGTGACCTATGTTAAGGCTCACAATCGGTAAAATGATCTCCCTCCACTCTAAAATGAACTGGGTTGGGTTTATGATATATGGCGAGCAAAGACTGATTAACCTTGATGACCTATCACAGTGCATAGTGGCATGAGGCGTGCTACTTTCACTTATTATCTTATCATAAATCTCCAGATCTAAGCTTATGAAGTTGCCCCTTCCCTTTACCTGTTGAAAATTTACAGCTTTTCATCTCTGACTAAGTTCTCCAGCCTTTGTTGTTACGCACCATTACCTTGTGACCACACCAATTAAAATTTAGTCTGTCTTGCAAATTCAGGAACACAAAAAACTGCTGCAGTGGTCAGGGAAGAGTTCACAGTTCCATGTGATCCCGCCAGGAGCAAGGTAGTGTAAGTTTAGGTGGAGAGCTCAGATGTGACTGTGATATTTGGGGAAAACAAATGCGTCGGTCAGTTCACACATTGGTGTGATCCCGACTTGAGCAAACATTGTACCATTTCATCGAGTTGTACAACTCTTATGTGATCACTTTCAAGAAAGTGGCTGATATATGATGCAATGGGCAGTTCATTCATCTCAACTTTTCCCTCTTGGTTGATCATCTGTGCCTGCCCGAGTTTTTAATCCATAAATTAGGATCAGAAAAGCGGGATCTTAGCTGAACGAAGACCTTCAAAGTGAATCAGACCGGGATCTTAGGGGTGATTTTGTATAGTAAAAATTCTGTTCTTTTAAAACAGCGGGATCTTAAGCCAATTCGGGATCATAAGCAGTGGGATCTTAGGCGGAGACTACTGTACTTTTATACATCCTCTCTTTGTGATAAAATCTATGCTCAGAATGTATATATATTTACAAATTATCCTCTTTTTTTTTTTTACAGCATTTGTGGGTGATAATTTGTGCGGTCAACTCTTGGTTATACTACTAAAGTCAGCTCTTTTTTTAACATACCCATTGCTTCGTTGTGCACTTCTATGGCTCAACCTTTTTTAAACACCACATGTATGCTTGAAGTGGACCAGCACCAAGTAGGCCCTGTTGTATTAATGAAGCTTTGTAACATAATCAGTATAACCATGCAAAATGCGATACAGCAAAAAAATAAGAAGAAAAGTCAGATATAATTTAAGTACTTAAAATTATACCTTACTTTTCTCTTATTTCAGTTCATATTCACCATGCAGATATCTTTGTCCTACTTGGTGCTGTGCAACGTCGTATCCAAGATGGGCGTAAGCGTGAGTGACGTGGAAGTGAACGTTGTCAAAGTAGAACCAGCAGTAAAGAGCGCCAACCACAGTAAATATCACCATCAAGACCTGTAACAAATGAGAAAGTCAGATGTGATAAGATAAAACTTTACTTGTTCAGATGCTGGCAAATTGGTTTGGTATTTCACCCGACATACACACACACACACACACACACACACACACAGGCACCTTTGGTTTATTTCAGATTTTTTAAAGGGGTAGGATGACTTTTTTGGTCATTTTTGTTCATCGACAAAGTGTAGGGCACCTGCCAAATTTTGATTTCACAGGAAATAAATAACACTATTCTTGTGAAAGGGAACAAAATGAATGTCTGTGAACATGCCGCTCTCATCAGGGCTGTGACAAATGACCACTCTACCAGGAGAGATCACATTCATTTCAGGAATAAGTTTTGGCAGATAAGTGCTTTACATTAATCAGGCCTAAATGTCAATGGCATAAAGGGAATACCAGAACATTCCTTGAGGTATACAGTAGGCCCCATTGGTGTACATATCCTGGTCAGGGGGTTGTCCTGGCATTATTATGCATAATAATTGCTACCATTTCAGGCTCAGAGCAGTGTGTTGTGTTTTCCCAAACCCATAGCATAAAATGGTTTGGACATCTGTCAAGACTACAACCAGACAGTAAAGCAGTGAAACCATAGGCCTACAACCAGAGATTAAATTGATATACAGAGGAAGCTAATAGGCACGCCGAGGAGAAAATGGAACAAAGCAGGTCAGAGGTACATTAGACAAAAACATACAACCATGCAACAGGTGATACAACAATTAAATAAGAGCAAGACATTTGACTCTCCCCTCCACACCATGTGGTAACAGAGGCTGTAAAAAGTAAATAAAGTTTAAAAGTAAGAGTGGCACATTTCAGTAACGGCAGTGAATTGGTCATGAGGGCTACAACTGACGTTTGTGTAATCAAAGTTCACAATAAATTTCTGCTAATAAAATTGGAACATTCTATTGCTTGTAAGGGAGCTGAGATAAAAATTAAAGGAATGATTGCAAAACAGCTGAAAAGTAGACTAGTTACAACAGCTGAAAAGTAGATTAGTTTATAATTATATAATTAAGAAGTTACAAGAGATTCCTATGTATCATACTTTAGCCATAGAATATAAAATGAGTCAGTCCACCACTATTGACTATATCTTTACCAATCTCTTTCTAATATATCCTATTTTCTTACGTTCAAACTCACTGTTTCAATTTTTTCCGTTAATAATAGGCTAATATTAATTTAAAGACTAAATCTACGAGGGACGTCCCGAAAGTAAGTACCGTTTTCACATCTCTCTGAACTGGGTCAGGATATTCCCGTTTTGCACCACAGTGGGTTGATGTGTTCAATACTGAACGGGAAAGAGCCCTCAGCTTCCATCTTGCCGTTGTAAACAACAATCTACAACGCTTGTAAAACATCTCGCCCAGTTATTTCCCTTCCAGTTTACACAGCCACATTTAGTACCAAACATCTTCCACCCTTTTGAAGCTTCAACATGTCTTCCAAGATTGTGAAAATTATGCTGACAGTGAAATTCGGTATGTTATTCGTTTTCTGACTGCAAAGAACACGAAGCCTCGCGATATTCATAGGCAGATTTCTGAAGTGTATTGTGAAAATGAAATGGGCGAAAGCATGTTGCGGAAATGGGTTCGCATGTTCAAAGAGGGACGAGAAAATGTGCATGATGAACCCAGGAGTGGGCGTCCATCTTTGGTTAGTGATGATTTATAAACAAAGTTGACATTAAGGTAAAAGAAGACAGGCGTTTTACTCTTTCCTCACTCTCTTCAAACTTTCCTGACACTTCAAAGTCGCTTCTGCATGAAATCGTCACCGCATAACTATTTGGGTTATCAAAAGGTGTGTTCACGCTGGGTTCCCAAGCAGCTGACACAAGCGCATAAGGATCAACGGGATATGACTTTCTTACTCATATTGTGACGGGCGATGCAACCTGGTTGCACCACCCCACGCTCGAGTCAAAGCAGCAGTCGATGCAGTGGAAGCATACGGATCTGCCCCAGCCAAAAAGTTCAAGCAGGCCGTATCAGGAAAAAAAGTCATGTGTACAGTGTTTTGGGACAGGCATGCAGTTCTTTTAGTAGAATATTTGGGGAAAATGGGATGACAATTAACTCTGATGTGTACTGCAACACACTTAAAAAACTGCGTAGAGCGATTCAAAACAAAAGACATGGAATGCTAAGCGGCGGCGTTGTTTTGCTTCACGATAATGCAACTCCTCACAAGTCTGCACAGACCCAAAACCTGTCGCCTCCTTTGGATGGGAACAGTTGAAGCATCCATCGTACAGCCCAGACCTGGCTCCAAGTGACTTTCATCTGTTCCTGCATTTGAAAAAGTTTTTGGGTGGGCAGGACTTCGACTCAGATGCTGATCTCACAGGAGAAACTCGACATTGGCTGACATCGCAGGCGACAGCTTTCTACGATGAGGGCATTCAGAAGCTCATCCCACGCTATGACAAAGGCTTCAACAGTTCTGGTGACTACGTGGAAAAGTAGTCATATATAAGGTATTAAAAAATGAATCGTTTAGATTGGGAAAATTATTTCTTTAATAATTATTTTAAAACGGTACTTATAGAGTCTACTTTCTGGACGTCCCTCGTATATCACACTGATTACCGAATCCTCCAGTGTCACGCTGGCGGGAACTGTGGTGTGTGGGACGCCACCAGTCGCGCGTGCGATGACTGATACACAAGGTAGAGTAAAGTCGGGTGTCACGTCCACCTGGTCTAAGCGTCCACTCGCTGTATTTCGTTATTCATCGGTGTTGGATCGATTCCGGTCGTGTAATTAAAAAGTATAAGCAGTTTCCATTTCATTTCGCATTTTACTTTAGTTTTTTACACTCTGGAAGTCGCCATTTTCTGATAATTAAAAATTTGTCTTCTTCATTAGCGAGTTACACTAGCGGAGACGCTTATTTGCTAGTCGGTTGCTTGGCAACTAATAAACTCCAAGCGCCCTTACTTGCTTTTATTACCCTTTACAAAGGTTGTAAAATATAACTGTGTCCATCGTGCCGTTCAACAATGGAAATTTGGCCCAAGAGGGGGGTGGACGCGCTTACCATACCAAGTTTTAGTATGGTCTGGTCATGCATCCATGGGTGGTGGCACTCACCGACCGAGTAGATTCAGTATGGTGAATGCGTGCACGTATTATAAAAAAATGAATACATGTCATTCACTCAGCCACCTGTAGACATCTATTAGTATTACCAATCAAAAGTTTATTGTTGAGAAAACTTTGTTTTTTTAAATCCCATCATCATTAGATGTAGAGATCTAGATTTATATTGTCTACATTTTTTAAAAAATAAAAAATTTGTAACATTAAAAAACCCCAAACAAAAGTCTTTCATGTCTGGATGGCCTTAGTGGCAATGAATATTATAAATACATAAAATAGTGAGATGTTAAGAAAAAAAGAAGATGAGAAAGAGGAAGTGTTTCAGGTGAAAGAGCCAAAGAAGAAGGAAAGAGAAGAGGTGAAGAAGAAGAAGGCAGAAGAGAAGGTGAGAAAAAAGAAGAAACACGAGAAGGCTGAAAATAAGAAGAGAAAGCGGAATGAAGCTGCTCTGAAAAAGCTGTTGAAAGGTAGGAGAAGAAAAGAGTGAATGTAGAAAGTGACTGAGAGAGTGGTAGAGACGAAGATATTCTGATAGATGATGAGAGTGAGGTAGATGATGAAATGCATGGGATGATGGACAGTAGTTGTAGAGGGTGTCGGAGCCATGGACAAGGACTGTAGGTGCAATGTGAATTATGTGATAGCTGGAGGCATGCAACATGCTGCAGAAAGGAAGAATTGAGTGGGAAGACAGGTCGAAGAGCTAGGAGCAGTGACTTTTATTTGTGATGTTTTCATGCCCACTATTTCATAACTCCCTTGTACTTACCATCCATCCACTTAAATTACTGAATATTACAAACTAAAATTTAAAATAAATCTACATAAGTATAAAGATATTTGGTTGTAAATTAATAAATAGAGTCTGCATGTAAATGTTTTTTGTCACTTTATCTACTGTAAAATAAATGAAATACCTTAACATAGATCTAAAAGTTTTATTCATTTATATTTCTTACATAATGAAGAATGAGTTAGTGGATAATAATATGATGAAGAATGACAGACTGGGTGATTGTAGATCTAGATCCTATGTTTAATCATCATTTATTTCTAATATTATGAAGAATTAGGGGGTGGTGGCACTGACCAGGCCTAGTGGACGCATTCACTAGAAAAGTGGATGCGTCACCAGACCAAAGTGGGCACACTAAAATGCAACGTAGAATGAATTCTATTAAGCATACAGAGATGATAACAAAGTCTGGTCATGCGTCCAATTCTGCCGGTCACGCCGATACTTTCAAAATTTGAATCGATACGAAAATAGCCGAATTATGGCTTTCTAAAGGCCTTAAGGTGGACGCACACCTGACTTTACTCTAAAGGCACACTCTCAAAGGAAAATCATGCATGCCACTTGGGTTTAGAGATAATTCATGACAGCTTTCTTTGGACGTTTTGCACGAATAAAAAAAAGGGGAAAAGGAATATAAGAAGTTAATTTGGTGCAGTGCAGAGTACAGTTTCGTTCGTTAAAGTCAAGACCTAATAAAAATATGGAGGTGGGGGTGGGGGTGGGGGGGCTGAATTTTATCCTAATTTGATGTTTTGCAATTAGGTTGCATCCCTGCTCTTTGTGTAGCCTAATTCAAATAGTATTTGGTCTTCAAGACTTCTGGATTTCTTCTCTGGATGTAAACAAATGGATCGTGGACTTTAACGAACGGAACTACAAGATCACCCTTGCGTTGCTTACTGCGCATGCCAGAAGTAGTGAATTGAAGACATTTATTTACTCAAATATTTTGGCCATACCTCCAGTACTCGCACATACGTTGGGTCTTCATTAGCTTTTCTCGCTAGTTTAAGTTTCGCCTTCAAAGGTAAGCTTTGTGGGTCCCATTTGACATTGGCTTCCTCTCGCTCAGAGAGTAAGCGTTGTCGCACGTCTTGGTCTGCCATCTTGTTTACATTACGCAGGATGCGACGTGTCAGCATCCCTCATGCTGTTGCTATGGTATTGTAACACGGGAGGTAATTCATGAAAAAGATGGGGTGAATTTTGAGAGAGACAAGGAAGCAAAAATAGGTTCCCCTTGAAGATAGCATCACTGTGTCTGTCATGTCGAGAACAAAAGACACTTTAAATTCATTTTTAGAATGAATAGAAGGTCAAGCCAAAGATTATCTTTATTCTCAACTGTCAAATGAGCTTTACCACATGTTTTCTGGGTTGGAGTGCACTAGTCTTGCTTTTCATAAATCGTCTCGTGTTACTGTTTTAAATTAATTGTAGATCTTTCTGCTTACAGAAGGTCATGCATCTGTTTTCTTACAGAAAGGATTGATTAGTGCATAGATTGAGGCTTGACTTAAGCCAGTTTATATGTTTTTAAAATGTGTTTTACGCCCCCCCCCCCACCGCAAACCCCACCCATTGGCACAATTTAGATAATTATTTTTTAGGCGGGTTTCAAACCCTGCCTATCAAGGCCAACCTGGACTGAAAGGGATAGATCTATATTATATGAGCTTACAAGCAAAAAGACCGAGATAGATGGGAAAAAAATTTCTCCGCTCGGGAATCGAACTCAGGTCTCCAGCGTGTGACAGCGAAGCGCCAAACCGTTACACTCCAGACGCTCGTAGCAAGCTTCAAGTGGCGCCCAGGACACATAATGCTCTTCTTGCCATACCCTTGGTAGGTGGGTGGTTGGCCGGTGCTCTGTTGTGGTTTACCCCTTCTTTCTTATCAAACATCTATCGCCCTTTTCTCGCCCCCCTTGGTTTTTCTTTGGATCTTGGTCTCTAGCAACACCTCTGATCTTGGGCACTTACAATTATGACCTATTTGTGTTGCAAGTTTCCTGCTGTAATAGTAGGCTACGTGAGACGGTTGTCGTTGTAAGCGCTCAGTTAC